GCGGTGCGAGGGGGGGAAGCGCCTGAGGAGATGGCGGAGGGGAAGCGGATGGCGGCGGTCGGTAGATGCGGGGACGGCGGTCCTGGGCCGCGCTGCTCTGTGAGGCCTCCTGCATCCCCGTGGAGCGGGTTGAGGCCTCCCCCAGTTCCTCACCCAGCGCTAGGCCTGGCGTTCGCGTCAGGCACCCGTCTGTGGGTTTCTTAGGGCTTTTCACCGCCTCCATGGACACGTTTTACCCCACTCCCCGGTTGCGTCTGGTGGATACGGGTTAGTGGTGGAGGAGATGACGCTGTCTGCGTCCCTACTGCAGGTACCCCCTTGGTGACCGATTCCTTGAGGAGTCAAGCCCCCAGCGCAGCTGATGTCTCGCCTGAGAGACCCCTCATCTGCACAGGAAGGGCCCTGCAGGAGCTGCTTTGGGAGGAAAAAAAAAGAAAAAAAAACCCAAAATGTCATTTTGTTTGATGTGGAGGTGCCCTGGACTCTTAGCTTTGTGGACACGGCACCCTTCCCTTGCTGCTACCTCCTTGGTGACTGATTCATTGAGGAGTAAAGCCCCCAGCACAGATGACATCTCACCTCCCTGGACACCCCTCCTCCTGAGAGACACCTCATCTACCCAGGAAGGGCCCTGCAGGAGCTGCTTTGGGGGGAGAAAAAAGAAAAAAAACCCCAAAATGTCATTTTGTTTGATGTAGAGGTGCCCTGGACTCTTGGCTTTGTGGACACGGCGCCCACCCCAGTGCCCTCACCTTGCTGCTACCCATCCCCCCTGAGATCGCAAGCGAACACGGTGAACCGTTCCCGCTCAGCAATGGCTTTTGCTAACGGCTGGTTTATTAGACCTGGAGGAGGAGGAGATGGCACGCATGGGTGAGGAGCCAGCAGCCCCGCGGCATGGGCGCTAGTTCTTGCCGCAGGGGAAACTGGTGCTGATTTTCCTGCAGTAGCAAAAAGCGTTGAAGAAGCGGCAGTAGCAGGTGGCGCAGGGGTCACAGCAGGGGACCTGCTGCCCGAGGCAGGACTCCAGGAGCCGGACGCAGCGGCGGGGGGAGCGCTCTTCTCGGCCCGCAGCTTGCAGTTCTGCGGACGATGCCTGCCGGAGAGAGGCGGAGGAAGAGG